GCAGTCTTGTCGGAGCCGATGGCCTATGTGGAGACAGTTCCAGCAAGTAGATAATAAACCCTCGTCCTGCCTGAAAACACGTCGAACCAAAAGAGCACATAGTCTTTGAATTTAACATCATTGTTTCCCCATTAACGCTGTGAAAAAAAAAAAAAAAAAAAACCGACTTTGCCGCCCGTTCCCCATATACCAGAAAACAGGAGACTAACAAATGTAACAAAGCTCTGAACTGGTCTCAGATGACTCAAATGTCCCCCCTCGTGGGTCTTCATTAGGATATGACCCTAGGACCGGCCCACGTCGTGTGAGCTAGGATATGGCGAGGGCGCCTTGCTGCCGGTGTCGGGGGGATAGAGCTCGAGCTCATCTTCTCGGCTCTTGAAAGGATCGGACCGACGACTGTTCCTGGAGGCTCTCGAGTTGCCCGAGTTGTGCGGGTAACTGCCGCTGCCGTAGTTTGCATATGCACTGCTGTTTGGCGGGTTGCCGACAATGTAGTCGTAGACGGGCTTGATGGGGGGCACGCTGCCGCAGACAATGATGACAAACAGCTCAGACGCGGACCAGACGTAGAGGTTGAATGTGTCCCCTGTTTTGTTTTGTGTGTTGGCAGGAAATAATCACGGGCACCTAGGGGGTCGAGAAGGCGAGGGCGGAGGGGGGAGAAGAAGAAGAACATACATGTAATGTCAGATCGTCCGCCCAGGGACGTCAGGTATTTGGTCTTGACCGTCGCAAAGATGGCAGCGGTAAAGGACAGCCCCAGGAGCGCGCATAAGCCGATTTTCTTCCTCCAGGACAGCTTTAGGTTGTACATGAAGGTCACCGGCAGCACGGCCAAGAAGACGTCGGTGAGGATATTCCAGCCTGGAAGGAAAAGGTGGGTTAGCTGCTTTTTGCAAATAGGGGCGTCTGGGCAAGGTACAATCGTCTCGACGTACTGGAGAGGAAGATGGCAAAGTCGGTCTGGACAGAGGGCGGCCAGCACTTTGCCTTTGCCTGCGCCACCAGGGCCGGATTCCAGAGGGCCTCGACGGGAGAGCACTGGACAAAGGTGAGGACGATGTTGATGACGGTGATGACGAGTGCCGAGGTGATGGCGAAGATGACGATGCGCTTGCGCCAGTGTGCCGTCTCCCAGACGACCCGTAGCAGCAGGAGACCGACCGAGATCTTGCCCGTGGCAAATCCCATGACGACAAAGGGTTGCGACACCCAGCTCCATTTCCCGGCCTGCACCCTCTGCTCCGGCGAGAGATATGACAGGTGCCGCATGCCGCCGATGCCAATCAACCTGGTGAGGGTGCCTGCATATGCGACGTATAGCACCTACGAGCGGCTGTTGGCAAATTGTTCTCGTCGATAGGGGGGAAAAAGGGGGGGGGAGACGCCGGCAACTTACAAGAGTGAAGAGCATCGTCCAGTCGTCCCATCCTATCGATTTCCGCATCCGTCTTCCCAGCAGCCGAAGGGCAACGATGACAATGGCAATACTGGCCGTGACCCAGAGCAGGATCAAGGCTTGAGGGCCGCGGTCGACATCGCCGCCTGCGGGTTCTTGATTATCCGTGGACATGACCGCGTGAAATAGCTGGCGCTGCTCGATTTCGATCCAAGGAGTAGACCCGGGGAGGGAACTTTGCCCGTATGAGACGAGACTGGCAAGCTTAAACTCGCAACGGCATGACCGCCCTTTGTCTCTTTTTCTTTTCCCCTTTCCAGTGTATAATCGAATCAGTTAGTTTGCGGTTCCTTGTTGAAGCTTGAAGCCTTGAACGACTGAGACGTTCAACCGGGCTCATCCGTCGACGGGAAGGGTTGCGGGAACAGAGACTGTAAAGCTGGCGAGGACGAGCAGGGTTCATATGATATGCTGCAGGCTCCTGGAAGTAAGGACGAAGAACAGGACCGGGATACTAGGCTAGAGAGGACTAGACGACCGTTTCTTCATCGCGTAGTCTGTGTTGATCTCTGAGTTCGCCGGTGGGTCGGCAGCCGATACCCAATCAGTCAAGCCACCGTCCTGTGCGTTCGCGGCATCGAATCCAGGGGCGCTGTACCCGGCGTTGTTGTGTCGAGTCTGCGAGAGAGTAGCCGGATGCTGGGCATCGTGGAGGTTGATTCAGACCCATGTACGCACAGACGAAAACGCTTTGAGGTCGAGACCGCCGCTCCCATGCAGCCGAGGAGGGCGTTCAAGCGTCCGCCATGTACCGAGTACGAGTTATCACAAAATCAGATCACCCTAGCGTATCCGGGGGAGAGCTTCCGGGTTTGAGCGGGCATGGGCGTGCTTGGCGGTGGCCCTCCAGATCGAGGGTCGAGGCGCTCACGGCTTCACCTTTGGAAAGTGTGATTTTTCTCGGACGGGCAAAATCTGCTCTTGCTCTTGTGCATCATGTTGTAATGGCTCCTTTCCATGAAATGGCGGGTTGGACGGGAGGGGGAAAAAACGTGGTCGTCAGGTCCGCAGGAGTTGGTCCGCAGGAGTTGGTTCCCAGGAGTTGTTGGTTCCCAGCCTCGGGCGACGCCAAACTAACCACAACTGCCCAGTTTCCCTGAAATAGATGATGGTGTCGAAATGCGGATTTTGGCTCAAGGGCTGCAACGAGGTTTCATCGCGACGCTAGTTCTCGCCATGGCTGGGATCGAGAGTCCAAGTGGGCTGAGTGGCGTGTCTGCTGCGAGCCGCGGCATGGTAGACGACCCGACTCCCGCGCGTGATCTGATTGCCCGCGTGCTGAAGCCTAGCCTGCCTCCCGCTTTGAAGGTGCAATGACTCCTTGACGCCTGCCATCTAGGGGGCAGCTCCGTCGCGGCCTCGAGAGTCATCATCGTCACTACGGAGCAACGCCAGGCCAAGCGCCAATTTTTCTTTAGCACCGACTAACCGTTACCATGCTGGTCTACACAATGGCGAGGAATTGCCGTGCGCGAGCGCGGTTTGGGTTCGTTGGGCTGCCACGGCACCGCGCGTGGCTCAGCGCCTCTTCCGACTTGCGTCCTCGGGCCCGGGATGCAATTCGGAACCGTCAGTTTGAACGCATCGATCACGATCCCCGGGCCCGTGGAGTCGGGATATTTTCAACCGCGCTCCATTTCAGCCACCGGGCGAGGCGTACAACCACTCAACTGCACGAGCGACAGCCGCTCCGCCGACTCACTCTCCACAGATGAAGTGATGCTACACGACGAAAATTGGCATTGGGGACCCGCAATCGGAAATATATGCCATTCAAGTGTCTGTAGTAGTAAAGCAGTACGACCGGCGACGACCCAGTAGACATGGGAAACTCCATGAACAAAATGGGCGGCAAGGCAGGTACTCAACGCCAGCGTTGTATACTTTTACTAACAGATTCCTGATAGTTAGAAACCAAACGTTGCAACACGACACTTCCACCTCTGACATGGCGATATACACATGTATACACATGTGTGTGTATGTGTGTGTGTGCACAATATACAAGTATATACATCCCCAGCAACACATACCCCCTACAACGCCTTGGAAGCCCATCCGAGGCGGTTATTCCCCCCGTCAAAAACAACAAAGGCAGACTTGAGCGCAATGTCGCCAAAGATGTTGATCCCGATGCCCTCGCTGCTCTGCAGGCCCCCGAAGCACGTCCTCTCGGCGCCATCAGCAGGCGCGTAATTAAGATAGGCCCCGGGGACGGTGACGGCGGCGCCGGAGACGCCAAACGAGAAGCTCGGCAGGCTCTGGCTGCAGGCAAACGTGTAGCCGCCCTGCCAGCCATCGTACCTGGCGCCGCTGACCCTGGCGTAGTAGGCGCTGACGATGCTGCCGGGCAGCAAGAGCAGGGTGGTGCCCGTGTCGGCAATACCCGGCGTCGACGCCGTGTTCAGGCCGCCGCCGCCCACGGCGTAGCCCGTCGACGTGAAGCCCCAGAAGCCCTGGCTGCTGTCGACGGCCGTGTACGCAATGGACCCGGTGTAGGCGGCGCCGTCGATGTAGCCAAAGTTGTATCTGCCGTCTGCGAGCCGAGCGGTTAGCAGATTCACGCCAGTCTTTTTGCTCAAACAGGTGCGCATGGGGCGAGGACGGACGTACCGGCTCCGTGCTTCAAGTCGGCGGTGAAGAGGGCAGAGTCCAGGGCTGGCTTTGCATTGTCGAAAAAGGTCTTTTGCCTGGTGGGCTCGACCGTGTTGATGGAGCTAAAGGCCAGCCCGAGAAGGCCCGACGAGGCCGCGTCTTGCGAGAACTGGGACGACACCTGCTCGGCGGCCTCGACGGCCTGGGCGTCGACGGTCAAGCCGCCGACGGTGACGGCGTCGGTGTACACGACGCCGCTGGAGCTGCTGCCGTCGCCGTACGCGATGCTCCAGGTAGATCCGCCGAGGGGCTGGGCGGTCGAGCTCCTGCTCGGGTCGTACACCGTCTGGCCGTTGACCTGGGAGGAGGGGGTCAGGCTGCTGAAGACCCAGAGGTCGCTGGAGCCCGTGTCAAAGTCCAGGTTCAGAGTCTGGGCGGGCGTACCGATTTGCACCGCGGCCAAGTAGCTGACGTCGTATTGCTGGGGAGAGTTGGGATCCGAGCCAGTGGTCCTCTTGCCCTTCTGGCGGCCGAGGGCGTTGGCCACGTCGGCGGGCACGGGCTTGCCAAACTTCCTGTAGGCCTTGGCCAGGGCAGCAGGGCCGCTGCGTGTGAAGTTGCCGTTGTGCTTTGCCGTGACGGAGAAGGTCCCGTTGGGCGTGGAAGAAGAGGTCGTGGGGAGAGCAGCGGCGAGGCTGCTTGCCACGACGAGGGAGACGAGGAACGAACCAAAGGTCTGCATGGTGTCCAAGGGAGTTTGGATTGTATCACAAATTTATAGTCTATCTGTGGTGCTAGGAATCAAAACACCCAACTCGTGGCGGTTTTCCCTGCGTATTTATACTTGTTCTGATAGTACACTGCGGCCTCCTCGTCCCGTGCGGCGGCGCTCGCTTTTGCCGATCACGGGAGCTCGACGATACAGGAAGTTGGGAAACGAAGCATGTTTCCGCCTAGTTTGTTTGAAAAAAAAAAAAAAAAAAGTTCCTGGGACAAGCTTTGCACAGAGGGTTGTGATGCTGGGGACGAGTTGCACCATCACATAAGCTTCACGCGCAAACCGACGACTACTTCCTAGTTGGGAAGGTGAAAGTCCAACCTCGGCCGAAACCGACTGAGCAACTCGTCCACGTGCAACCTGGGCTTGCAGCGCTGATGCCGCAGTATCCGAATACAATAGAGGAGAGGGCCGGTATTACGACAGATTGCTAGTAGATGAGGTTATACTCAAACAACGAGGGGGGGCGCATGGTGTTGGGCTTTTTGTGAGTGTGAGTGGTGCGTCGGTCGCCTACTTGGGTCCGATCAACAGACGTCCTCGACGATATTCGCCATACTAACTAACTAATGAGGCAACCGACCTGCACGGTGTAAACACAATCATTGTATTAGTCCATTTTCCCATCTGACTCCTGCCATTCTCTTTCATTTCATCCAAGAAAAGGGATCGACCCCCGGCGGCTGATTGCCAATTACCCAAACTAGAAGTTGGTCGGAAGTGAGACTGCCGAAGGGACCCTCGGTGCAGGAGGCTGTGTGACGCGGCAATCGCAAGACTGGGATTGGATGCCGTCAACTTAAAAAAAAAGCCCGTTGTTCTTTTGTCTGGGGTAAGCAACCCTTCCCAGAAACCAGCTTGGTTAGATGTCTTTTTTTTTTTTTCAACCCTTGGTCCTCTTGAAGGCGGTCTGGAACGCCCATTGTACGAGCCACATTGTTCTTAGGCTGCCCTAGCCTTGATGCAAGATTCCTTTGAATGTGTTAAGGTGCCAGCGAGGTTCCTTACTGGGATGATATCCAATGAGAATTAAGTGTTAAGTAAGTACATATATGCTTACGTATTTATTATAATAATAAAAGTACTCTTAATCGTGCCTGGTACATACCTCTTAGCAGCATTATTAGGCTTGTTAGGCCTAGTACAGGTAAAAATACTCGACAAGGGTATTCTGGAGTAGATATAAAGGCGGCACCTCAACACATTCAAAGGGATGGCACAAACGACTTTTTTCCAGCTCTGTGGCGCTTTTCCCTCCTGCTCCCAGCGATCCAAGCGGGCTTTGTTGCTTCAACCAGCGATGAAAATGCCCGTGCTCCCTCTTCCCAGCTTGAAAAGTGCGTTATAGAGCTAGCGGCTACCAAGGTTTCGCTAGCAACAACTTACACAGCCTGGGAACTACTCAAGTTTCGCGACTTTACAAGCTTTGTCCTTTCCCGACTTACACAAGCGAGGAGCTGAAACTTTACATCACGGTTGTTCAAACGCCACCCGTGGAATGGTGTCGTGCTACTGACCTACCTAGGCCGTCGTGCTACTGACCTGCCAAGAAGGTTTGGTGCAACTGCAAAAAGGATCCCTCTGTCCCTCCTCCGCGTACGACAATCATGTTAATTGGGGGCGGGCATTTCTTCCAGGGAGCACAAACACAGCATGTCATCTGCGTCTTGTGCCCAGCCAAGAAATCAAACGCTGGCTAATGCTCGCACACCACACCTCTCAACGGGCAGCATGTCGATATGACACATCACCGCCAGAGGGGCGGGTAGGAGAGCCAATCATGGAGGGACATGCCGAGGTTCCCATCTCTCTTTGCGCATCTCTCTTTGAAATGGCAATTGTTCGAGTTCCTCCGTGGCAGTCCTTTATAGCCTGTAGTTGATATCCAGGCTTATCAGATGGCTCCTCCCGGCTCCAGTTCCCCTCCGCGTGCCAGCTCGGAGACACGAAGCTGCACACTGTTTGAAACGGGTTCCTGTCCTTGTTGGCCCTTGTGAAAATAAACCCGCAAGCCGGCACTTCTAGTTCCTGAGCGTCCCTGCAGGGGGGGGTTGATGTCCACGGTATAAGTAGGATGACTCGCCCTGCCAAAAGAAGAAACACCATTCACACCAAAGGAGATTGCCAACGGGTGAAAATACAGGGCATACCACCACTAAGAGGTATACAAGGTTTAATCGTGACAGGAACTTGTGGAAGCGTGGCATTTCCCTTTAACCTGGTCTAGTTGAACCGTGACATGGATACTTTTTCAATCCCATCCCCGTATTCTTTTGCCAAACATGTCGAGTTCTTATTTCACCCACGACACGTCATGCAACCTCAAAGGTCGCGGCATATCGCGCGTACACACACACTAACACAGCGGTGTATATTGCGCCGCGACGCGGTATACAGGTCCCTTAGTTGAATACCGCTGGCCCCCGCGGCCAAGACGAAGCGCAAGTGCCGTTCTTGCCACGGGAAGCCCATGCGGGACGGCAATCCCCTCCCCCCCCCCCCGTCTCCAAGTCACACCCTGCATATCCCAAAATGCCCAATGCGGCACAAACTTAAAAGAACCCCCCCCGGGGATCCATCCGCTGCCCGTCATCTCACAGCCTCAGCAAGCCCAGCACGACACATGCAGTGCCTCCCCGACAGGAGCAGTCAAACCTCCCTGTACAAGTAAATCAAGATCAGAATCTACTCCTCTTCGCAATCAAATTATAATATGTCAAATATCAAACTACGCTCCAAGAGCCAAGTGTCCAGGATTACCTGCGCCCACCACTCCTCGCCAGCACCAGCTTCCAGACACCACATGCACATGAACCGTCCATCAATGTAAAATTCCCACCCCGTCCTCCCATTCTCCAGCTCCCTGCCGATATTTCCTATAAATCGCAACCCTACCGTCGCCGAGCGCCATGTCATCCCAAACACCGCAGACTCACTCCCCACCTCTGATTGGCCAGACTTGTCTGTCACAAGCTCACTGTCATTGGCCCACGTCTAAAAAAAAACGCCCGTAGCCATGACCGACTACCAACCAGTCGACTGTTACCAGCATCGCACGGTTAAAAAAAAAAATACAATTTCATATACGATATACGCCAAACTAAATATAAACAGCCACGACGTCTTCTTCATTTCCTACTTTTCCATTTTCTCATAACCATAAACTACTCTTCCTACAAGACCTAATTTCGCCAAAAGGAAGCAATGGCTGAGCCCACGCCAAACGACACCAAGCAACGCGACACGGAAAAACAATCCCCGGCATGCGCGCAAAAGGTATCGGCCTTCAAGTCCCTCGGCTGGCTGGACAGGTTCCTCGCGATATGGATCTTTCTCGCCATGCTCATCGGCATACTTCTGGGGAACTTTGTGCCCAGTACTGAGAGGGTTCTCCAGCAGGGACACTGGGTTGGTGTGTCGATACCAATTGGTACGTCGGACAAAGATGACTACATGTTGTACCGTACGCTTCTGACACTAAGCTTTAGCAATCGGGTTGTTGGTCATGATGTATCCCATCCTGTGCAATGTGCGGTACGAAACGCTGCACCAGATTCTGGGGCAAAAGGCCCTGTGGACACAGGTCCTCTTCAGTATCGTGTTCAACTGGCTCGTTGCACCGTTCTTCATGGTACATGGTTCCTCCCCTCCCCCAGTACACTCATCGGTAGGTGGAATCGGGCTAACAATGAAGGAATGCAAGCTCGGCTTGGCATGGGCTTTTCTTCCTGATGAACCAAATCTCCGCAATGGCCTCATCCTCGTCGGTCTTGGCCGCTGTATTGCCATGGTGCTTATATGGAATGGCCTTGCGGGCGGCGACGCCGAGTACTGCGCCATCTTGGTCGCCATCAATTCCATGCTGCAAATGGTCCTGTTCGCCCCCATGGCTGTATTCTTTATCCGCGTCATTGGACGCCCAGCCAGTGACGACGTGGCAGTACAATACTCCGTCGTCGCAACCAGCGTGGGCGTGTTTCTGGGCATCCCTCTCGGCGCGGCAATCATCACCCGCCTTGGCTTGCGGCATCTAGCCGGCGAGAAGTGGTACAACGACATCTTTATGAAGTTCCTGTCGCCATGGTCCTTGATCGGGCTGCTGTACACGATTATTGTGTTGTTTGCTGCGCAGGGAAAGCATGTAGTGCGGCAGATTGTGAGCGTTGTGCGTGTGGCCGCTCCGCTGGTGGTGTATTTCCTCGTCATCTTCTTTGTGACGCTATGGGCGACGAGGAGATTGGGGTATGGCTACCGCCTTGGATGCACGCAGAGTTTCACGGCTGCCAGCAACAACTTCGAGCTAGCCATCGCGGTGGCGGTTGCAACCTTTGGGGCGGATAGCGAGCAGGCGTTGGCGGCGACGGTTGGGCCGCTGATCGAGGTTCCTGTCTTGGTTGGGCTGGTGTATTTCGTGAGATGGATTGGACGGCGGTGGAAATGGGACGAGTAAGCCAAGAGACCGAGCACTGTTTGCAGCTCGTCCGCTGATACTGCCAGCCATTGCTGTAGACGGCGAAAAATACAGAGTCGATGCGTCTCCAAAAGCCATGTCGTCCCTCATGTGAGCAGCCACTCTTGTATGCCTGAGCCCACGAAGATAAACCCTTTTCACAGATTTGTCGGGAAATATTGTCGCGACAGCGGGGAGGGCCTCACGAAAAGTTGCCGCGTGCTTCACTCTCCAAAATCTGGAACAGCATAGCGTTCTTCACCAGACACTCTTGCTGCGCACGACAGCCCAGCCGTGCCTTTGCAGTGCCCATGTCCCCGTGCCCCTGCATCTCAGCAATGATAGCGGCAGCCGCACTACACGACATTTCCATGGGCGACGAAAAGCCCTGCACCAGGCCAGCGGCGTCGGGCGAAGACGTAGGCGTGACAGCCCGCGTGTTGGTCTCAACAGTCGAGGGGCTCGGCGCCTCGGACGCCGCAGTGGTGCATCGTGTTTTCCCCTCACAGCAAGAATTCTGCTGGAGCGTTGCCGACGCCAGCACATCGAGCGGCGTGTGCTGGCGGGAAGCTGCTGAGCTGTAGCTGGAGCTGGACGTGGACCCCGTGTGTCCGCCGGGAGCAAAGGCGTACTGATGGTTCCCAGGCACAGACTGCGGATGCGGATAGGGTTTGCCGCTGCTCATGCCCTGCCGCGGTACAGCCTGGACGTCTCTCGATGATTCATCATCCCTCTGGTCATGATGAACAGGCCGCATGCTGACGCTCGACAGGGCCTCGGCAGCCTCTCGGTCCTGGCACGCGGCCAAGAAGTCGTCGACGTCGCCCTCGCTAACGCCTAGGCTCGCCAGCATCATCTTTAGCCTCGAGTTCTCGACGGCCACGGTGCGGGCGGCCTGCTGCATCTCCAGCGTGGCCTCGACGCCCCGTCGCTCATACTCTTGCACCTTGCGCTCGAGGTTTTCCACATACTCCTTCCGGCGGGCACGGGAGCGGCGCTGATTGTCGCGGATGCGGATTGCAGATGCGGACTGATCTTGTTGCTGTGCCTGGTAGTCAGTAAATTGTCAGCGCGCAGTCCTGTGCCGTGTGGTCCACGGCAGCATCGGGTTGAGAGCCGACAATTACAAGCAGCAATGGCAATGGATGGCATTGCTACTTGCAATTGAACTCGTCGTGATTTGTCACCCGTCACCAAACATTGAGCGCGCACAGAAAATCACCAAACCCTGCCAGCAAGCGTCTGGTCTGTCTTCACTCTGCGTAAGGAGCGGGAGGGGGGATGGGGAAAATACAAAAACCACACAGAATCATACCTTTACGTTTGCCATTGTGTATTCAACACACCTGCATGCAATGCAGCGTCTGTACGGTATGGTATCACCGAGGTGTTTCGGACCAAACTTGGAATCAAAGAGACAAAATTCTGACTTGCATACCGAGTGGAGTGTCAGGGTCCCTTGTGTCTGGTGTCTTCTTGTCTCGCTCCGTTCTTGTCCTGCCTTGTGTTGCTCGTCTCCTCTGGTCGCTGCATGGTGGAGGCGGCAGTGGGCCCGTCCAATGTTGGCATCAAATTGCAGCTGGTTGACTGGCACTGGCAAACGGGTGACAGGGGGGACGAGGGCGACAGGGGGGTAACGGGGTAGGGCCAGCGCCGTGTGACTGGCTGCTCAAATAGCAATTACAAGTGCACCAGTATCACTGTCTGCTCTGGCCATTCAGCTCCGCTCAGCTCATTGTTTGGTCATCACATTTCACTTTTTTTCTTCACCCCCGCTGGCCGGTGGGGACTCGGTGACAAAACACAGACAACGTCGATGCGCACACTTGACCAGACAGCTTATGGAACCAACCATTGACGGTCCAGGGCTACTATCACCATTTCACCATTTCGTTACTTGTATACTCCATTTTCCCACCATGTACACTGGCTGTCTTCAAATGTATTCCGTCCTATGAATACGGGTATCATTCTACATAAACGCCCTGCCCAACCCCAGCTCTCATTTGCCGCGTAGACCCTACTCCCACTAGTATAGAGTCCGCCGAACCCCAGAATCTAATCATTTAAACAATCGCTTTCTTGTCCTTGTCGAAAATCTCTCCACGCCACTGCCCTGCTGCGTGTGCCACAGCTGCTGCACTCCCACACCTCGGCTCTCTCCGGTCAGCTTGTACCGTCGCCATGCCTCCCGCAGGTGGTCCGGTCGCATCGGGCCGCGCTTGACCTCGGGCTCCTCCGCCTCCTCTGCCTCCTCCTCGTTGTCCGCATCGTCCGTTGAGGGCGGCGGCGTTGGCAGGTCCGTCTGTTTCTCCCCGGCAGAAATCCACTCCCCTTGGACGTTTCGGGCTGCCTCGATAATCTCACCAGCAAACAGCTTGGCAACTGCCTTTACAGCCGTGCTGACCATTTGCGGCACCGACTGTGAGACCGTTGCATTGACTACCTGAGCTGCGAGTTAGCATAGACATAATGATAGCAAAACAACCCTGTCGCAGCGCTGCCTTACCCTCTTGACGACTGCATCTGACAGCTTTGCCGCCCGCCATAGCTCGTATCGGTTGTATTGCTCGCTGTCAAAGGCCTCCACCAGCATGGCTCTCAACCGAATTTCTTCCTGTTTCTGTTCCTGAGTGCGCGCACCAGAGTCTTCCAGCGCCATCTCTCCATTCTCGTCGTCGTCGTCATCCTCTTCGGCCTCCTTGTCCCCGCCTTGTCCGCTCACGTTGGTGGGCGCTTTGCCACCAGCTAGACTCGGCGTCCCTTCAACCTCTTCGCCCTTTGCGTTTTTGGACTTGCGGCCTCTCTTCTTCTTGGCGGTCCCGCTGGCGGTTGTGCTGACGGCACTGCCACTCACAATAGACGTAGCATCAACGGATGGGGATCGCGCGTACGGGGATCTGGCTTCAGGCGGAAAAGAAGTCTGCCGTAGGGGATGAGCAGGCGCGGAAGATTGCGACAGGTTGGAGGGCTTTCGACGCTTGATGGGAGGAGCATTGATATCGAGAGTAGACGATCGCTTCTTGGCGGGAAGCTGTGCCGGCGATGGGTTCGGCGGCGAGGTGGCCAAGGGCGACGTGGCGTACGGCGGCGAAGCCATGGTCAAGTAGAGTAGCCAAATCGTAGACTCATGAGCGTGCTATTTGACCCCAAAAGACCGTCCGTATGCGGAGATATATATGGCGGAAGAGCCCAATGAGACGAGATTCAACTTGGCTGAGTTGATGCCAATGAACGCGATTGTATCCGCGGCACCAGCTCGCAAGGGTGGTGCCTGGTCACGTGATCTCAGTACTTGTGCCGCAAGCCCCTGTGGCTGGGTCGCCGCCACTCAGCCTCTGTTGAGCCAGTCTCTTGCTCCTTCCGTCTCTTGTCCACCTTGTAAGTTACTCTGCACCTCTAAGCTGGCTATCTATGGCGACTTGTCCGTCATATAGTTATTTGATGAAATAATTTAATCCCATTTAGTCTGTTTATTGCTATGATTTCCATGCAAGCACAATCCTTCGTAATTCCTTCCCGTTTTGTCTAAGCAATTAAACCTCATTCAAAGAGTGCAAAAAAAACTATGTATAATTGGGGAACCACAAGACTAGAAACCCAGAAAAAGCAAATTCACCAGCAAGATACCTCTTGTAAAGAAAGCTTTCTTAAAACTCCGACCTTTTCTCCTTGCCGGCTCGCACAAGGAGCCATTGTTCCTGCTTGTCTGATCATTATACACCACAAGGATAGCAGTAGTACTCGTACACTATACACTGATACATCTCATAAAGAGCAAACTCAAGAAAAAAAAAAAAGCACCAGAACCCCTGCCAAAACCCTCATGCCGAAAGATGAAATAAAATAAACTCCCAAGTTTTGATACCCCGTCTTCCCACGTGAACATAAACCAGAAGACATGTTTCGCATCTATTCTCCATCTATTATTGCATCGAGGTCATTTCTTTCACTTTCGAGAGATTCTGCTGTCACGGTTTCTGTTGTATTGTTGTCGTCCTTCTTCTTGCCATCTTCGTCATCTTCTTGATTCGTCATTTCTCTAAACATTTGATCGACGCTACCATCATCCCGCCTGGAAGTCTCATCAACATCAATTGGGGTGACTGAGCGTCCGGTCTTGCTTATTGAACCTCGTTTAGGGGCCCAGACATCTGGACCCCATAGTTGCTCCGCTTCTTGGCGGCCTCTGGCTGTACGGCCGAGTATTTCAAGAGCTTTTCTCTTACCAATATCGCTTTCTAGGTCAACCTCCTCTTCTGGCAGGCCTCGAAGTAGCCGGTCTTCCAAGCTTACAGCCAAATTAGTGGTAAAAACAGGGCCCCTGGAGCCGAGGAGCCCGGGCTGCAGGCCGCTATCCACATCCATATGGTCGGTTCTGGTCTGCTTCTCGCTGGATGGAATACCAGCGTGACCCAGATGACCGCGTGGGGAGGTGCCCGAGTCTGCATTTTCGCCTGGTCCGATATAGAATGTCGGCCCACCATATGCAGAGCTGCTAGACGGGGGTAACAATGGTCCGCTACCATTCTGTGCTGCCGCTGCAGCCGCTTCAGCATTTGCCGCTTTGCGTCGTAAGCTGTTTGCTTTTCCTTTGGCATGCTCCGGTAAGTCGTCGGGGTTGTCTACACCGTACTCGGCCAACATCTTTTGTAGCTTAGTTGGACGTGGTTTGCGTGTGCTGAGAGAGACCTCGAGAATGGGTGGAGGCTCTGGCGCGACAGGACACCACTTGTGCAACTCCTGGCGAAAGAAATTGGTCTCATATGAAAGAAGTACTTCGGCGCCTTCAAGTTTTCGAAGAAAGAACCGCTGTGTCTCCACCTCGGCTTCAGTCGAGACGATCGGATTACATAGCCGTGCAATATGGTCGCGAAAGTATTGCGCATTGTCAATAATGCGGTTTAGCACATCCTCTTCCTCTGGCTGAAATGGCAATTGAGGAATCTCATCCGCTAGATTAATAAGATCCTCCAGCTTTGGGCGGGCTGCGTCGCGAGGAATCTTCATCCGCCAATCGCAAATTGGGCATGTGTACTTGTCGTCTTCCTTGACCTTGCCACGGGCAATCTTTAAGCACTTATAATGATACCTTTATACATCAAAATTAGAACAGTTGAACGAAACAATCAAAGCGCATTGTCAACTACTCACCACTCATGGCACAGCTCGCACTCAATCATCATACCAGCCTCGACCTTTCGGCAAATGCAGAAGACTTGTCTTGTGCGATCATCGAAACGGTTCCCCGTCTGTTCAGGGGTTACTTCGCGAGAAACTGGCTCAGCAGGCTGACGTGGTGTGTCGTTGTCCACGTCGAAACAATCCATATTGCGTTCCAGGACATACTCGAGATGGCTTTTCAGAATATGGAGAGGGGCATTCGATTTTCCGAACAATTTCTTTCCTCTACGCATCCAATCTTCATGGCGCTTACGCTCATTTTCTAGGTCAATTGTGCCGGTTGGTTTCGAGTTAAGCTCATCAACGTTCCTTATAATGTCCACGACCTCTGCATACTTAGGCCTCTTCCTGAAATCGCTGTTCCGACAGCGCTCAGTGATGTCCATAATCTGGCGATGTGCCTCGCGTTGCTTATGCAGGATCCTATCGACTTCGGCAAGGGTTTCCTGAGACACGGGGAGGGCGTTTGCCTGAACTTGGTTGGAAAGAGCCTCGAGCTGCGGGTAGTGCACGACGGCGGCGTGGATTAGCTCCTTTGCCTTGGCTTCCCAAGTCTCTCCAGCGAGCTTTTGATCAGAATAAAACTTGAGATGGTCGTTATAACTGGGGACCTCAAGTCGCTTGCCATCTTCAATGAGCTCGGTAACATCTTTCAAGGACAAAAACAAGCCGCGGCTAGACCTAGCTTTCTGATTCCATCGCATCTGTTCTAGGACCCTGGAGAGGCGATCGACTTCAGGGGTGTCCACATTGAAGCTCCGGCCTTCCTCAAGCAACTCTTCGATAGTCTCCATTGAGACGGTAGCCGTATTCTCGAGGGTACGGGCTGCGTTGAGCTGGAATTCCTTTATGGCTGTAGCTCGCTCCTGTAATTGTCCGATTTCGGGACAATCAAATCCAATGTGCTCTGCCTCACGAAGCAGGCGATAAATATTGCTCACATTGCGGGACTCTCGCTCTTTCTGGTCTTGATATGCGTTACCGTTCGATTTGCGCATGCCGCTCTGCCATGCCTTTTCGTTCTTGCGGCGGTTTTGCTGTTTGCGTACAATATAGTTCGTAGCCTCTTCAACCCAATCGTTGCATCGATCGACGAATTCTTTTAAAATGGGTAGGGACGGAATATCGAAGGGAACCCGTTCGCCT